AAAGAACAATAATCAACTCTGTATGGAAAAACTAAAGACACAGGATAGGCAAAACACCTTATTCAACAAAGCAACATCTGGAGGCATCACCATCCCTGACTTGAAGCTCTATTATAGATCTGTAGTCCTGAAAACAGCTTGGTATTGGCAAAAAAATAGACAGGTAGACCAATGGAATCGAATTGAAACCCTGATACTAACCCATACATATAGTAACATCTGATTTTCAACAAAGAAGCTAAAAATGTACAATGGAAAAAAGAAAGCATCTTCAACAAATGGTGCTGGCATAACTGGATACTGGCATGTAGAAGAATGCAGATAGATCTATGTCTATTGCCATGCACAAAGCTTAAGTCCAAATGGATCAAAGACCTCAACATAAATGCAGCCACACTGAACCTGTTAGAAGAGAAAGTGGGAGGCACCCTTGAACTAATCGGTAGAGGAGACTGCTTCATGAATATAACTCAAGTAGCATAGACACTAAGATGCACAATTAATAAATAGGACCTCCTGAAACTAGACGCTCCTTTAAGGCAAGGGACACAGTCAACAAGACAAAAAGGCAACCCATAGATTGGAAAAGATATTCACTAATCCCACATCTGAGAGAGGGCTGATCTCCAAAATTTACAAAGAACTCAAGAAGAAAGTCTTCAAAACACCAAAGGATCCAATGGAAAAATGGGGTACAGAACCAAATAGAGAATTCTCAGTAGAGGAGACTAAAATGGCTGAGAGACACTTGAGAAAGTGCTCAACATCCATAGCTATCTGGAAAATGCAAATCAAAACAACTCTGAGATGTCATCTTTCTCCTGTTAGAATGACTAAAATCAAAAACTCCAAAGACAGCTTATGCTGGAGAGGATGTGGAGAAAGGGGAACACTCCTACAGTGCTGGTGGGAGTCCCGACTTGTACAGGCACTTTGGAAATAAGTATGGAGATTCCTCAGGAAATAGGAATCAGTCTACCACAAGACCCAGCATCTCCTCTCTTAGGCATATACCTAAAAGATGCGCATTCATACAATAAGGATGTCTGCTCCACTATGTTCATAGCAGCATTATTTGTAATAGCCAGAACCTAGAAGCAACCTAGATGTCCCTCAACTGAAGAGTGGATAGAGAAAATATGGTACATTTACACAATGGAGTACTATTCAGTGGGAAAAAACAATGGAATCTTGAAATTTGTAGGCAAATGGATGGCACTAGAAGAAACCATCCTGAGTGAGGTAACCCAGTCACAAAAAGAGAAACACGGTATTCACACATTTAATGGATTTTAGACATGCATCAGGGGAGTGCGAGCATAGAATCCTACTGCCAGAGAGTCTGGGAAACAGAACCTTCATCCAGCAACTGGTGAAAGCAGCGGCAGATACCCACATACAAACACTGAACAGAACTCCTGGAATCCAGTGTCAGAAAGAGAGAACTGATAGGCAAAGCAGTTAAGACTGTGCTGGTTTAACGATGAGAAACAGTTGATCTGAACAAGGGGGAGCTCTTGGACTCCAGACTGATGGCTGGGTGGAAAGCATAGGACTGACCCTGACCCCCTGAATGTGTCAGTGAGGAGGCCTAGGTAATCTATGGGGCCTTGGGTAGTATTTATCCATGGAGTACAAATACTTTGAGTGCCCATGCTACAATATGGGAGGCTCTCTCACCCTCTCTCACCTGGGACTCTTGGGGGAGGGCCTGGGCCCTGCCCTGGATGAAATGACAGTCACTGGAGATCCACCATGGAGGGCCTCACCTCCCTGGGGATTGGAGTGGAGATTGGGTGGGGGACTGGGGGGCTTGGTGGGGAGGATGCAGGAGGAGAGGAGGGAGAGGGAGCTGGGATTGGCATGTGAAACAAGATCGTCTCCAACCTAAATAAAAAATAATAATTATTTAAAAATTAATGTATTCTCTCACGTATTACATCCTGACTCCAGTTTCTTCTCTGTCCTCTCCTCACATTCCCCCTGCCCCACATCTATTCCTTCTCTCTTTCTCTTCAGAAAAGTACAGTCCCCCCAGGAATTTCAACCAAACATGGCATATCAAGTTGCAATAAGCCTGGACATAGCATATCAAGGCTGGACAAGACAACCCAGTAGGAGGAAAAGGGTTCCAGAAGCAGACAAATCCATCAGAAACAGCTCCCTGCTCCTCTCTCCCTCTGTTAGGAGTCCCACAGAACCACCGAGCTATGCAACTGTAACATATATGGAGAGGGCCTAGGTTAGACCCATTCAAGTACCTTGGTTTTCAGTTTAGTCTCAGTGATTCCCTGTGAGCGGTATGTTGATTCTGTGGGTGTTTTTTTTTTCTGATGTCCTTAACCCTTCTGGATCCTGCCCCTCTTCCACAGGATTCACTGAAGTTTCTACTTTGCCCCTGAATTGTACCCCCATTCTAGTTGTCCCCCCGAGTAATCCCTCTCTCGAACCTTCTTTCCCATCCCCCCTGTTTCCATTTCCACCCACTCCCAATCTCCACATGAACTCTATTATATTTCCCTTTCCCAGGGAGATTCAAATGTTCTCCTCATGTGCCCTTCTTGTTGCTTAGCTTTTTTGGGCCTGTGGACTGTAGCATGGTTATCCCTTACTTTATGGCTAATAACCACTTATGAGTGAGTACTTGCAATGTTTGTCTATCGGGGTCTGGGTTACCTTCTCAAGATGATGTTTTTCTAGTTGCATTCCTTTGCCTGCAAATTTCATGATGTTATTTTTTTAACAGTTGAGTAAAACTGTATTGTGTAAATGTACATTTCTTTATCCATTCTTCGCTTGAGGGATATCTAGGTTGTTTTTCCATTTCCAGCTATTATGAATAAAACTGCTATGCACATAGTTGAACAAGTGTCTTTATGGTAGGATTTACATCTTTTGTGTATATGCACAGGAGTGGTATAGCTAGGTCCTGAGGTAGATCAATTCTCAATTTTCTGGGAAACTGCCATACTGATTTCCAAAATGGCTGTACCAGTTTGCACTCCCACCAGCACACATCCTCTCCAACATGAGCAGTTCCTTGTGTTTTTGATCTTGCCATTCTGAGAGTTATAAGATGGAATGTCAGAGTTGTTTTGATTTGTATTTCCATAATGACTAATGATGTTGAGCATCTCCTTAAATATTTCTTGGCCATTTGAGATTCTTCTGTTGACAATTCTGTTTAGGTCCTCACCCCATTTTTTAATTAAATTAATTAGTTTATTTATATCTAGTGTCTTGAGTTCTTTGGATATTTTGGAAATCAGCTCTCTGTTGGATGTTGCCTTGGTAAAGATCTTTTCCCATTCAATAGGCTGGCATTTTGTCCTTTTGACAGTGTCCTTTGCCTTGTAAAAAGTTTTCAGTTTCATGAGGTCTCATTTATTAGTTGTCAGTCTTAGTGCCTGTGCTACTGATGCTCTTGTTCAGGAAGCTGTCTCCTGTGACAGTGCATTCAAGATTATTTTCCACTTTCTCTTCTACCAGGTTGAATGTATCTAGATTTGTGTTGAAATCTTAGATCCACTTGGATTTGAGTTTTGTGCAGGGTGATGAATATTGGTCAATCTGCATTCTTTTACATGTTAACATCCAGTTAGACCAGCACCATTTGCTGAAGATGCTTTCTTTTTTCCATTGTATAAGTTTGGTCTCTTTGTTGAAGATTAGGTGTCCACATGTTTTTGGATTTATATCTGAGTCTTGACTTGATTCTTTTGATTCATGTGTCTGTTTCTATGCCAATACCAAGTGATTTTTATTACTATAGCTCTGCAGTAGAGCTTAAAATTAGGAATGGTGATACCTCTGGAAGTTCTTTTATTTTATAGTATTGTTTTAGCTATCCTGACTTTTGTTTGTCCATATGAAGTTGAGTATTGTTCCTTCAAGGTCTGTAAAGAATTGTGTTGATATTTTAATGGAGATTGCACTGAATCTTCAGTTGCTTTTTGTAAGATGTCAATTTTTAATATGTTAATACTACTGATCTATGAGCATGGGCAATCTTTCCATCTTCTGATATCTTATTCAATTTCTTTCTTGAAAAACTTGAAACTCTTGCTATACAGGTCTTTCACTTGCTTGGTTATTTACACCAAAAACTCGTATATTATCTAAGGCTATTGTAAAGGGTGTTGATTCTATGATTTCTGTCTCAGCCTGTTTATTATTTGTTGTGGGAGGGATACTGATTTTTTGAGTTAATCTTACATTCAGTCACTTGACTAAAGTTGTATATCAGTTATAGGAGTTCGTTGGCAGAGATTTTGGGGTCATTTATGTGTATTATTGTTGGGCGCTGCCCTGGAACCACGCCATGGCAAGATGGCGCTGACATCCGCCTGAGAGTTGCTATAACAACCCTGCTGCGCATGAGCAGGAGCTCCCTGCCCACGAGGCCGGGGGTGCCTGTGCCTTACGTCACCTCGGGTGACATAATTGAACCAGTAAATAACTGCCACGTCCGAGGCGAGAGAAATCCTCTATATAAGGAGAGTCCCGTTAGGGCGTGGGGTCTTCGCTTTGTGATAGCTTATGCTCCCCCTCTCAGGGGCAATAAAGCTTACTGCAGAAGGATCCTGATCGTGTGCCGCGTCATTCTTGCGGGCGAGATAGAGCGCGGGACAACTGGTGCCGAAACCCGGGAATAAAACTGACCAAGCCATCGTCCGCACCATCGAAGACCCCTTGGAAACGAGGAGGATTCAGAACTGCAGGCAGGTAAGTTCGGAGAGGTATGCTGATCTGGGACTTTGGTCTGGGGTTGTCTCCGCCTTGGGAGGGTTTGCCTGAAGCAATCGTCCTCCTTGGTATTGTTCTTGTCTTCTTTATACTGGTCACCTAAGCCTCCTGTAGATAAAGGGGCCTGAACAGTCTCTTCTGTCCTTTGCTTTCGTTTTTCCCCATTTGCTGTAAGACGGACGTAGATAAGCCGCGAGCATCTGTACCATTGGTAACGGTGGTGATTAGTCAGACGTAGGTAAGCTGCAGCCACCATGGGGTCCTCTCAATCCATATTAACTACCTTGGAGACTGTATTAAAGCAGAGAAATATCAAGGTTGACAGAAAGACGTTTCGGAGCTTTGTCAAGGAGGTCGATCGTGTGGCACCCTGGTATGCCCTTTCTGGCTCTCTCACCCTGGCATCATGGAATAAGTTGGGGAGGGATCTTGATCGACACCTAGAGCAAAGAGACCTAAGGATAGGGACCAAGGCAGTATGGAAACTAGTGAAGAACTGTATTGAGGATGAAGCTTGCCAGGCGGCCATTGTAGAGGGTCAGGCCATTCTCGAGGTAGCCCAGGATAGTATGTCAGAAACCGAACGTAGTGAGAGGTCAGGCGCGCGCGAGAAGACGGTGGTACACAAAAGAAAAACTAAGAAAAAGAGCCCTCCTGTTTTAGGAGAGAACATTATAGCAAAACCAGATGCCCTTCCTGGCCTTTCCACTAAAGGGACAGGTCAAATGTATCCTTTTAAAGAACTGGAGGCGCTGAACCTCGGCAGCTCCGCTACTTCTGAGTCTTCTGATTCCGAACAAGACTCTCTAGACCCTGGAGATGAGACAGAATTAGAAGAAGAGGCTGCAAAGTACGAGGCGGAGAGATATCACCCGGATGGGGAGTTTTTCTCTAAACTGCTGCCCAAGGGCAAGGCCTCAGCAAAAGCAATAGCAACTCCATCTGCTCCGCCTATGCCGCTCTCTCCCCCCCCTTATGAAGGGTGTTTACATAGTTTCTCTTTTTTACCTGAAAAAATTAGAAGAAAGGTCCATCTCACCTTCCCCGTTTTCGAAGTAGAGAATGGAGGGCGGGTACATACTCCGGTTGAGTATAAACAGATAAAAGTATTGGCAGAATCGGTTCGTAATTATGGACCTAATGCCAACTTTACTATTATGCAGATAGAAAGGCTTGCCTTGGATCCCCTAACTCCTGCCGATTGGCAGATGGTGGTGAAGGCAGTATTACCAAATATGGGGCAATATATGGAATGGAGAGCATTATGGCATGAGGCTGCCCAGTCACAGGTGAGGGCTAACGCCATAGCACTCACCCCAGAGCAGAGAGAATGGAATTTCGATCTGCTTACAGGACAAGGAGTCTATGCTGTGAACCAAATTAATTACCCTTGGGGCGCATATGCTCAAATAGCCACCCTGGTAATTAGGGCATGGAAGTCACTTACGCAGAAAGGGAAGGCAGGTGGACAACTTACCAAGATTATACAACAACCTCAGGAGCCGTTTTCCGATTTTGTGGCAAGAATGACGGAAGTGGCAGGAAGAATTTTTGGAGATACAGAGCAGGTTAAGCCGTTGATAGAACAGCTCATCTTCGAGCAGGCTACACAAGAATGTAAAACAGCAATTGCCCCTAGGAAAGGAAAAGGTTTAGATGATTGGCTCAGGGTATGCAGAGAACTCGGAGGACCGCTTACTAATGCAGGCTTGGCGGCTGCCATTCTTCAATCACAAAGAAAGCCGACGGGCTTCAAGGATCGGAGGCTCTGTTTTAATTGTGGAAAGCCAGGGCACCTAAAAAAAGAATGTCGAGCTCTAAAAAAGGGTCAGGATACTATCTGTGCCAGATGTGGGAAAGGCTACCATAAGGCAAGCCAATGCAGATCCATAAGAGACCTTAAGGGCAATCTCCTTCCCCCGTAAACCAGGTACAGCTGACCAAGAGCCAAAAAACGGCCAGGTGGGCCCCCGATCCCGGGGCCCGCAAAGATATGGGACTCAGTTTGCCAAGGCCAGTTCCGAGGAGGAGACGACTCCACAAGAGACGTCAGGATGGACTTGCGTGCCGCCACCTCAGTCCTACTAATGCCACATATGGGGGTCCATCCAGTGCCTGCGGCACCTTTGCATCCCCCATTGCCTGATGGTATGATAGGACTTATAATAGGCCGTGGTGCCCTTACTGCGCAGGGACTAATTGTACATCCTGGAATAATTGATAACCACCATATTCCAGATATTCAAATTCTTTGTTCCAGCCCCCAAGGTGTTTTCTCCATCCATAAGGGGGATAGGATAGCTCAGCTTGTATTGCTTCCAGCAAAAGATCAAATTTCACAAGATATAAAGGGTCCGATGGGATCCACAGGGACGGACTCGGCCTATTTAACTGTGGCACTAAATACAAGGCCTAAGTTAACTCTTAGAATTAATGGCAAAAGTTTTGAGGGCATTCTGGATACAGGAGCTGACAAAAGTATTATTTCAACACATTGGTGGCCAAAAGTTGGGCGGTCACACAGTCCTCTCATTCTCTACAGGGGCTGGGATATCAATCCAGCCCTGACATCAGCTCTAGTGCCCTAACTTGGGAATCCTCAGAAGGGCTGAGAGGCCAATTTACCCCCTATGTCTTACCCTTACCAGTTAATTTATGGGGTAGAGACATCCTAACAGAAATGGGCCTTACCTTAACCAATAATTATTCGCCCTCAGTTAGAAACATGATGGAAAAGATGGGGTTTCAAGAAGGCCGGGGCTTGGGACGTCTTGAGCAAGGCAATCCCCGCCCTATATCACCCCGACCTCATGAAGGTAAAACGGGCTTGGGTTTTTTCTTGAGCGCCACTGAGGCAGCACGACCCATACCATGGAAGACGGAGGACCCGGTATGGGTTCCTCAGTGGCCATTAACCTCCGAGAAACTGAATGCCATCATGAAAATAATTACAGAACAGCTTTGCCTTGGTCATATAGAACCATCCACTTCGCCTTGGAATACTCCGATTTTTGTTATCAAAAAGAAATCGGGAAAATGGCGCTTGTTGCATGACCTAAGGGCCATTAATGCACAAATGTTACTATTGGGTCCGGTCCAGCGAGGATTGCCTCTACTCACTGCCCTGCCAAAAGGGTGGCCCCTTCTGATCATAGATATTAAGGACTGTTTTTTCTCCATACCCTTACATCCCGTTGATCGCCCGCGTTTTGCCTTTACGGTACCTTCTTTAAATCATGCAGAACCAGATAAGAGATACCAATGGAAAGTTTTGCCTCAGGGAATGGCCAATAGTCCAACCATCTGTCAGCTCTTTGTTGATCAGGCACTTGCCCCAGTTAAAAGACAGTTCCCGCAGGTCCTGTCTATCCATTATATGGATGATGTGCTGTTATGTCATCAAGACCTTACAGTTTTACAGCAAATGTTCCCTGTCTTACAAAAGCAATTAAGTCAATGGGGACTTTCCCTAGCCACTGAAAAGGTACAAATAACCGACTCCGGATCATTCCTGGGCTCGGTTATCCGACCTGATTTCATTAGACCACAGAAGGTTGAAATTAGAAAAGATAAGTTACAAACTCTAAATGATTTTCAAAAGTTATTGGGTGATATTAATTGGCTAAGACCTTTTTTAAAAATTCCCACCATTGAATTAAAACCTCTATTTGATATTTTAGAAGGGGACCCGCATATCACCTCCCCAAGGAAATTGGATCCCTCGGCAAGCGAGGCTCTTTGCAAAGTCGAGAAAGCTATAACTCAGGCCCAGCTGGATAGGATAGATTATACCCAGCCAATTTTGTTATGTGTCTTGAACACACAAGGTCTACCCACCGCTGTTGTTTGGCAACAAGGGCCTTTATGCTGGGTCCATCCTCGAGCTTCCCCTGCTAAAATTGTTGATTGGTATCCAGCTGCTGTTGCACAATTGGTTATAAAAGGCATTAAAATGACAATAGAATACTTTGGTCTGGAGCCTAATATCATTATTAGCCCCTATACTCCGGATCAAATACAGGTTTTGGCCGCCACCTCTAGCGACTGGTCAGTCCTATGTGCTTCATTTTCAGGGACCTTTGATAATCATTATCCCAGGCATCCACTTTTACAGTTTGCTTTGGCCCAGCCTTTAGTTTTCCCAAAAATTACCTCTAATACCCCAATTAAGAATGGGATAGTAGTATATACAGATGGTTCTAAAACAGGACAAGGGGCCTATGTTGTAAATGATATGACTTATATAAAACATTTTCCTGAATCTTCCCCACAAGTCGTTGAATGCCTCGTGGTATTGGAAGTTTTACAACAATTTATGGGCCCACTTAATATTGTTTCAGATTCATTATATGTAGTTAATGCAGTTAAAATTCTTGAAACTGCCGGGTTGATTAGACCTTCTAGTAAGGTGGCTCACATATTTGAAGCCATTAGAGCTGCTCTGCTGCAAAGGCGGCATCCTTTCTTTATTGAACACATAAGAGCTCATTCTGGTCTTCCCGGCCCCATGGCAAAAGGGAACGCGCTCGCTGATCAAGCCACTAGACTTGCAGCTGTTGCGCTTTCTTCACCCATAATAGCTGCAAAAGAATTTCATAATAAATTTCATGTTACTTCAGAGACATTACGCAGACGCTTTTCTTTAACCAGAAAAGAAGCTAGAGATATAGTGATACAATGTCAAAATTGCTGTCAGTTTTTGCCTGTCCCCCATCGAGGAATTAACCCGAGAGGTTTGATCCCCTTACAAGTTTGGCAAATGGATGTTACCCATTATGTCCCTTTTGGTAAGTTGCAATATATACATGTTTCTGTTGATACTTGTTCTGGAATATTTTTGCCACCCCACTTTCAGGGGAGAAGGCTTCTCATGTGATTCAGCACTGTCTTGAGGCCTGGAGTGCCTGGGGCAAACCCCGCTGTCTTAAAACCGACAACGGGCCTGCCTATACTTCACAAAAATTTAAACAATTTTGTGCACAAATGCAAGTTACTCATATTACTGGATTGCCCTATAATCCTCAAGGTCAGGGCATCATTGAGAGAGCACATCGGACACTTAAATCATATTTATTAAAGCAAAAAGGGGGAGCAATAATGGAGCTACCCCTGGACCGAGAGTGGCCATAGCCATGTCACTCTTTACCCTGAATTTTTTGAACTTGGATGATTCAGGGATGAGTGCGGCTGAGCGACAATGCACAGAACCTAAAAGGCCCAAGGAATGGGTGAAATGGAAAGATGTGCTAACTAATCAATGGAAAGGCCCGGATCCTATCCTGATAAGGTCCAGGGGAGCTGTCTGTGTTTTTCCACAGGATGAAGACAATCCGTTCTGGGTTCCGGAAAGACTCATTCGTAAGATGGGGAACCCTGATGATAATGATCATGGCTCAAGCCTGGAGGGCAACGGGAGAAAGAAGATGGGGAATCATGTCGACCTTTCCCTCCCCATGCCGGTGATGTATAATGCACAAGTGTTTCCTAGATTTTTTTCCACCAATAAAGAGCTAGGGCTAGCTTATTTGCCCCAAGATAATCAGATTCATGCAGTACAAGAAAATCGCTCCCTCTCCTTAAGAGGAAGCTTATGCTTTCATTTTTCCAAAGTAAATGATAATAAAAATAGTATTAACTGTGTTAATTTGAGGAATCAATCGGCTGCCCGGCAAGGCGAGGCTAGTTGGGGAACTGATTTAGAGATTGTAGCTAATGCATCCATCCTTTACGGATGGTGGCCGCTGCCGGTTAGTACTAATGCTACTCCCCATGATCAGCCAAAGTTAGCCCCATTTTGTAAAGGGATTCAATCAGAAGAGTATATCCTGCCTTGGACTGGATGTCAATTTAGGTATCAACACTGGGTAGGCCCTAATACCTTCACTTTCTCACCCAGCCTAGGGCATCATTTTTTGAATATGACACCCTTGACAACTTGGGTCAATCCCTTTGATCAATGGCTACTATGTGGCCTAAATGGAAGCTGTACGGATTTGACTCCTATGGTAATGATAGGAGGAGGAGCTGGGGAAAAAGGACAAATCTCTTACAATTGGAAGGGCAAATTTTCGGGGGGATCTGGCTCCGGCACTTGGCAAGCTTCAGATATGAAGCATAAAGAATTTATTAGAAAAGAATATGCCCCATCACCAGTTTGTGTTTGGCCCCCCTTTTTATGGATTGTAAGCAATAATTTTATAGGTGAGAATGAGGAATTAAGATGTGATACCAAGAGGTGCTTTTATACATTATGCTGGAATGCCACGAAATATTCTTATGCTGTAGTGACTAGAATGCCGAGGTTTGTGCCCGTGCCGGTGGAAGCCCCGAGTAGCTTGTCTCTGCTACGCACAAAAAGAGATTTCGGCATCTCGGCCATAATTGTAGCCATTGTGGCCACTACAGCAGTGGCTGCCTCTGTGACCGCCTCGGCAATGGCCCTATCCACATCTGTACAAACGGCAGATACTCTTAATGGTCTTTCATCATCAGTATCAGTGGCGCTCGACCGACAAAGTTCGGCAAATACTCAAATTCAGGGAGGGTTGATGCTGGTTAATCAGCGCATCGACCTGGTTCAAGAACAATTGGATATTTTATGGCAATTGGCGCGGTTAGGATGTGAATATAAAATGCCTGGACTTTGTGTTACATCAATACAATATGAAAATTTTATTAGAGCGGCTAATTTGTCCAAAAGTCTTTCTCAGTTCATTTTACAGAATTGGACATTCGAATTTGAACAGATACTGCGGGACTTGAGAACAGCGATCCTGCAGGTTAATTCCACCAGAATTGATGTCTCCCTACAAGAAGGACTGTCGTCATGGATCTCTTCTGTCTTCTCTTATTTCAAGGAATGGGTGGGGGTGGGACTCTTCGGGATGTTTCTCTGCTTCGGAATGGCAATTTTATTCTTTTTGTTTTGCAAAATGTTCAAAAAGGCAAAAACAGATAAAGTCATGATTACACAGGCACTCGCGGCTCTAGAGTATGGGGCCTCGGCGGAGGTCTGGCTCACCATGTTAAAGCGTGGAGAATAGCCTTTGATTATCCCCATTTCATTCTGGCTTTCCCTGTCACCTTGGCAGACTCCGGCTATATTTCTCTGCCCCTGCTTCAATAGATCAGCCTTTTCACCTCTGAGTCCGAAATGTTTTGGACATTTGCACCAGAGAAGGTGATCATTGATATTGCAGCCTTTGCACTCCGCTGAGCTCGTCTCATTGCACGCGGAAAGGTGCTATATGGGGTATATTCATCTGTTTCGAACCCTGATGGGCTGCAGAGCCTGACGGTGATCAACGGATGTAGGCCATTCATCTGGTTTCTGTCTCTGGTGACGAGGTGGCCATTAACTGTCGGCAGAACAGCCCTTGCACCCTCAGCGACTTTGTTGCATTGCACGAGGATGGGTGTTTTAGCCTATGCAGCCCAGTTGGGACACTTTTATGTGCTTTTATTAAAATAAAAAGGGGGAGATGTTGGGCGCTGCCCTGGAACCACGCCATGGCAAGATGGCGCTGACATCCGCCTGAGAGTTGCTATAACAACCCTGCTGCGCATGAGCAGGAGCTCCCTGCCCACGAGGCCGGGGGTGCCTGTGCCTTACGTCACCTCGGGTGACATAATTGAACCAGTAAATAACTGCCACGTCCGAGGCGAGAGAAATCCTCTATATAAGGAGAGTCCCGTTAGGGCGTGGGGTCTTCGCTTTGTGATAGCTTATGCTCCCCCTCTCAGGGGCAATAAAGCTTACTGCAGAAGGATCCTGATCGTGTGCCGCGTCATTCTTGCGGGCGAGATAGAGCGCGGGACATATTATCATGTTGTCTGGAAATAATGACACTTTGACTTCTTATTTTACAATTTCTATCCCCTTGATTTTCTTTAATTGCCTTTTGTTCTAGCTAGAAATTTAAGTACTATATTGAATAGGTATGGAGAGAATGGACCTCCTTGTCTTGTTCCTCATTTTAGTGGAATTACTTTGAATTTCTCTTCATTTAACCTGCTGTATATTGCTTTTATTTGTTTAGGCATGTCACTTGTATCTCTGATTTCTCCAAGACTTTTGTCATGAGGGGGGTGCTAGGTTTAGTCAAAGGCTTTCTAAGCAGTTAATGAGATGATCATGTAGTTTTTTTCTTTCAGTTTGTTTATTTTCATATGCTGAACCATTCCTATATTTCTGGAATGAAACCTACTTGGTCATGATGAATGATCTTTTTGATGTGTTCTTAGATTTGGTTTGTGAGTATTTTATTGAGTATTTTTGCAATAATGTTCATAAATGAAATTGGCCTGTAATTCTCTTTCTTTGTTGAGTCTTTGTGTGGTTTGGTTGATTGTGGCCTCACAGAAAAATGTTGGCAATGTTCCTTCTGTTTTTATTTTGTGGAATAATTTGAAGAGTATTGGTATTCACTCTTCTTTGAAAATCTGGTAGAATGGTGCACTAAAACAGTGTGGCCCTGGGCTTTTTTTTGGCTTGGAGACTTTTAATGATTGTTTCTATTTCTTTAGGGGTGATATGTCTATTTAGATTGTTTATCTGATCTTGATTTAACTTATACTTAGCTCATGCATATGTCAAGATCCAAAGCCAAGGCAGCATTTTCTTCTTTTATTATTTTTTTATGTGTTTGTAGGATCTCACTAGGTAGTCCAAGCTGGCTTTGAACTCACCATCCTTAGTCTCAGCCTCTGAGAGCTGTGATACTAGACATGTACCACTGTGCCTGTTTGTTTCTTCTTCAGATGTTGGTGTGTCTTGCTTGGTTGTTTCTCTGAATTGGGAGTTATTCTCAGCTACCCTCCAATTAATTCTTATGATGCAGAGCTAGCTTTAAACATGCAAATCTAATTATTTCAGAACATTTCTTTAGATTTCTTTTGCTCTTAAGACAAAATTTAAAGTTTTATTGTTGTCTCTGTTTAATTCTCTAGCTTTGTCTAATCTTCCCTTTTTGTATCTTGAAAGCAAACACAAAATCTCAGTTGTTTCTGCATCTTTCCAAAGGCTGTGTCCTCTCTCCAGAAGAGCCTTCTGATGTCGATTGCCTTTCTTGGTTTCCGTTGTTGGGGAAGCCTCTCCAGATAACACAGATCAAGAGTATATAGGGGCAGTCTGGGAATTTGATATTTTCATTGCAGCTCCCCCACCTCATTGTTGCACATTAAAAACCATGCAGCATGTGCAACCCACAGTATCTCTCTTTTCTATTGTCACAGCACTGTGCCTTGCAGTATGCTTCATACTTCCTGGGGAATCAAAAAATAATAGGTGACTTGGTAGTGGGAAATTTGTCTGGTAACTGTAAAAACATGTAAAACAATCAAAAGCAAGACTCAGACTTCTTGTTTTCTTTTTTTATTTATTTTTATTATTTATTTATTTATTATTATTATTTTAACTTTAAATAGCTTGTTTTACATGTCAATCCCAGTTCCCTCTCCCTCCCCTCCTCCTGCATCCCCCCAACATCCCCCCATTGTCCCATCCTATTGCCAATTCCTTCCACATAGGGGATATGTAGAGTCTGTCATTTCACTCAGGGTAGGGTACAGGCACTCCCCTAAGAGTCCAGGCAGAGAGAGCAACCCTCTTTGTGTTATGGACACACGATGTCTGTTTGTATTCGAGGGATAAACACTGATCCACTGCTTAGGGCCCCATAGGTTGCCCAGGCCTCCTCACTGACTCTCACATTTAGGGGGTCTGGATCAGTCCCATGCTGGCCTCCCAGCTGTCGGTCTGGGGTCCAAGAGCTCTCCCCTGTTCAGATCAGCTGCCTCTGCTCGTTTTGCCAGCCTATTCTTTGCCAATTTGCTCATCGCTCCTCTCTCTGTCGCTGGGTTCCTTGGGTTCAGTTCAATGTTTAAGTGTGGGTGTTTGTCTCTGCTTCCATCAGTCACTGAATGAAGGCTCCAGGATGGTTATAGACATCAAGTTCATTATCAGGAATGGGCATTCACGGTGGTCTCTCCACTATTACTTAGTTTGCCAATTGGTGTCATCCCTTTAGATCACTAGAGGTCACACTGGTGCCTGATCTGTTTTCTAACCTGTGATTCCCTCTTCCCCCTATCCTACCCCTCCACTCAACCTTCCTGTTCCCCCATGACCTACTCTCTCTTCCTCTTCTCCCCCTCTCTATTTCCCAGCTCCCACTCCTCCCACCCCTTGCCGTGTTCCCCATCTGTTCAGAGGGTCTTGCCTCATTTCTATATACCATGCATATATTTTAGGTTCTTTCCTGTTTCCCAGACGCTCTGTCAGTAGAATTGCAGAGTGGCACTATCCTGATCCATGTCTAAAATCCATATATGAGTGAGTATATACCATGTTTGTCTTTTTGTGACTGGGTTACCTCACTCAGGATGGTTTCTTCCAGTGCTATCCATTTACCTGCGAATTTCAAGATTCCATTGTTTTTTTTTTCTGCTGAGTAATACTCCATTGTGTAAATGTACCACATTTTCTCTATCCACTCTTCAGTTGAGGGGCATCTAGGTTGTTTCCAGGTTCTGGCTATTACAAATAATGCTGCTATGAACATAGTGGAGCAGATGCCCTTGTTGTATGAATTTGCCTCTTTTGGTTATATGCCTAAGTGGAATTGGTGGGTCTTGTGGTAGATTGATTCCCATTTTCCTGAAGAATCTCCATACTGATTTCCAAAGTGGCTGTATGAGTTGGTACTCCCACCAGCAGTGGAGGAGTGTCCCCTTTCTCCACATCCTCTCCAGCATAAATTGTCTTCGGTGCATTTGATTTTAGCTGTTCTGTCAGTAGTAATATGGTATCTCAAAGTTGTTTTGATTTGCATTTCCCTGATGGCTAAGGATGTTGAGCACTTTCTTAAGTGTCTCTTGGCCATTTTAGCCTCCTCTATTGAGAATTCTCTGTTTAGTTCTGTACCCCACCTTTTAATTGGATCCTTTGGTGTTTTGGAGACTTGCTTCTTGAGTTCTTTGTAAATTTTGGAGATTAGCCCTCTGTCAGATGTGGGGTTAGTGAATAGCTTTTCCCATTGTGTGGACTGTCTTTTTGTCTTGTTGACTATGTCCTCTGCCTTACAGAAGCTTGTTTTCTTTGGTACCAGCACTAGCTGATGGAGGGTGAGGGGTCAATTGCCCTTCTGTAGTTAGTGCCAAGCCAGGTCACCTGGTTTCAAAGTTTCCTGTGTTTCAGAGCTGTCAGCTGGATGACTTGTTAAATACAGTTGCATGGTCTTGTTTTTAGTTTGTGGTTTATGCCTCATGGTGCCTGAGAAGTTCCCTTTCCTGGTTCGGTCACACTTAAAGAGGCTTAAGCACAGACTCCAGCCAGCAGTTCGTTGATGGGAGATTCCATCTCTTTGTTGGGAGGAGGCATTTTTCTCAGTTTCGTGGTTGTTCACAGGGTGAGTTTGAATGCATCTAGGAAGTGATATGTATTGAGTTTTGTCTTCCTGGTCTGCAACCTTCTTTTTCTAGAGGAAAGTGGATCAGGAATAGTGAAAACCAACTTGGAAATCTTCTGAGTAAGATCTTGGTTCCCAGAAATTCACTATATTTGACTTCAAGTTAATCTCTAGTTACAAAAAGGTCAGCTAAAGAATGCATTTGTTACACAGTGTGTATTGAAGCCTACCATCAGACTTTCTCCCATTTGTGAAGACCTGGGTCCAGAGTCTTGGATGTTAGGTATGTGATATGGCACTTGAATTTCATTGCATACAATTTAGTTCTGTGGAGTCCCATTTCATTTAGTAAATGAGCACCTGAGTAAATGTGCTTTTGTCTCAAACCAAAGAAGCAAGCAAAAACCACCTCTGGGCTAAAAGGAATTGAATGCCTGCTATCCCTCAGTGCTGTGAAACCAGTAAAGCTCCCGCTTGCCATTGCACATATCCAAACAGCAAGGTGCAAATCAACCATCACACATTCCTCTGCCTGGGGAGCAGTGTACATCCCTGCATAAGCACAAGTGAGTTACAAGAGAACTTAGACAGCTGCTGCTGCATAGCTCCAGATCTCTTAGGAAAGGGAGAGGAGAAAGTGGCTTTTAAAATAGAACCAACAAAAAGGGAACAGGTGCACAGATAATCATTATTTGCTAGGGAAGAGAGAGTTAGGGTCCATGGATCTAATCTCCGTATGTTACAGAAAGGAGAGCCTCAGAGAGGTCAAGTCACTTGCCAAAGTAGTTGAGCTGAATTGGGGCGATGC